TAATTGTGATTTTATTTAAAATTTACAGAGAAGTTAGATTTTCATTCATTCATTGTTTTCAAGTCATTCACTGCAATTGTTTTCATTCATTCATTGCATGTTTAACCTCTTCTTCCTTTCTCCCTCCCCCAGCTGACTTTTTAATAATTTAAGAACTTGTATTACTGACAACCTAGACGTATCTAATGAATAGTGTGTGTATACATACATATACATATGTATATATGTATGTATACACATACGCACACACAAAAAACCCCCCATATAGCTCATGTGTGTGAACCAGTAGTTTCCAAATTAGCAGTGCATTCATTAGGGCTACTCAAACTGAAAAATACACCAATGGAATTTTTTTTAATAGTGTAGTCAACCCTTTGGCATATTCCATTAAGGACTGCTCTCTCTAATCCTTTTTTTCTAGGGTTGTATCAGGAGTTTTGCTTTATCAGACTCAGCTTTCCTAATCCTCTAGGGAACTGTACATTCTAATGAAGCATAATATAAAAAGTTCTTTGGTAAAGTTTTAGATTGTATATAGAAAGTAACTTTTAAAAACTACCTGATACTTAATGAGTTTTGTGGTATTGTGGTGAAGTGTTTGGCTACTAAGTGTAAGGTTAGCAGTTCAAACCCACTTGATGATCTACAGAATGATGTGATAATCTGCTTCCATAAAGATTGTAATTTGTATTTTTGTAAAGCTTTTGTAAAGACGGCAGTTGTAATTTGCCTTCTAAGGTGGTTATAAATTAGAAATAATTTAGTAGTAAGTGGGTTATTTTTAAATCAAAGAATGGTCACAATTTCTTTAAAACCTTTTGAACTATTTCTTCCTTTTCCAGCTATACATCTACAGACCTATATTCTCTTAACATACTTCAATCAAAACAACATATTAAAACAAACAGAGAGGAGGAGCAAAATTCAACTGAGCTCTAGAAAGCAGAAAATTAAGGTGATCTGCAAAAGTATGAACTTAAATGTATGATTTTATAACATTTCATGAAAATTATTCTGTTAACATATAACAAAAGTATTATTTATAATCAGCCACTGAGGGACTCAATTTTGTAACCAATATGTCATTTTAAAATATATATATGTGCCTCTAGAGCAGTAAACTGAAAGCTGTGGGGAAAGGGAGAAAAGAGCCCCCACCCAAACATCAGCCAATCCTGTATCACCCTGTTTTCACGGGCCTTCCTGTGAATCAGCCAATCCTGTATCACCCTACACCACTATTTTAAATTATCAATAGACCTAGCACATAGAAACAAAATCTCTTGGGAGTCTCCAATAAATTTTAAGAAAGTAAAGGAGAACTGAGACCAAAACAGGCTACATTTAATTTAAAGCACAAGCTATTTCTCATGGAGCTAGCTCTCCAGACTTCTAATGATTAATTAGTGAAGCCTACCTGGCCACTGCAGACTGGCCTCACCTATGATGCCAGGTGGATGTTTACATGGAAGAGTTCTCTCTCTATATTGGGACAGCTTCCAGAAGACAAAGAGGACTAGTATGCCATGTAAATGTCCTTTTGAGTTCCACATCTATGGTGCACAATATAGCTGCTTTCCATTTCTGCTCCAAAAAGCTTTTGGGCCCAGGGTTACTGCTCCCTTATTGTATGCTGCCTGCTTCTATTCCTAAGTAATAAAATGAACATTCATTATACTAATACATGTCCAGATTCTGATTTGAACAATATAATATTTATGAAGGAATAACATCTAGTGATAGGCTCCCTTTTTTCTAATGACCTCCTGGTAATTAAGAAATCTGGGACAAACTATGTCTTGAACTCTCCATTTCCCTAATATCATTATTATTGGAAAACAAAACAGGACAAGAGATAATAGGCTAAAGAATATTTTAGAGCTACACTGCTGTACATTTACAAAAGAACAATACTTATAAATGAAAAGCTCTGAAACAAAGAAGAAAAGTTGTCTATACTACAATATAGAAATTATTAAATGCTATCTTATTTAATGTTACATTCTATCTGTAATAAAATTATATGACTATGATAATATGAATAGGATGGGAAGGAGAAGCCAAAATGTGGAGCATTAAAAATAGTGAGATCATAATTTTTATTTCAAATATGTGAAAATGTCAAAATAAGTTCCAGACTCATAGGGCACACCTTTGAAAAAGAATCAATTTTCAAAGTTAAGTTTGCATAAAGGAATTTATCATATATTTATCTATGTACATGTCAACGACACATAACAACAACAACATGTCTTTGTAGCTTTTGAGGTTTATATTTTTCTGTTTTAAACTGAATTACTCAATTTTCCAAGAAACAAAGTTTGTTCTCTCCTTGATATAGGTATGTAAATCCCATTAGGCTCTCAATTATATCAATTTGTATTAACAGCATGTATAGCTTGAAAAAATACTTTAAAAATTTTTAATGTTTTTTAAATACAGGAATTCTACCTTAGAAAATGTCGTCTTCTTGAAATCTCTGTTAACATTAGTGATATGTGAGAATACAGCTCAAATTTCAAGATAAAAATATCCGGAGAGAGGGTTATGGGTCCCTAGGTGGTACAAATGCTTAACATACTCGGCTGCTGACCAAAAAGTTAGTGGTTCATATCCACTCAGGTGAGCTACTTTTATAAATAAGAAAGGGGGCAGTTGTGGATGGAAATCCAGCCATTGAAAACGCCCTAGAACAGGACTACGGAGCAAAACCCTATCCCGTCTCACACGTGGTCATTATAAGTTTAAATGTACTTGAAGGTAACAGGCTCTAGCAAGGTCTGAGTCCACAAGGGATACCTCAGAAGAAAGGTGTGGCAATCAACTTCATGAAAATGAGCTACTGAACCCGACAGAACACAGTTCTACACTGAGATGCATGAGGTTTCCATAAATTGGAACTGTGACAATAAACAATACAGTTTGTAATATCCATGCTGACAGACCAGACAGCAATCCCACTGAGGCCACATACTGGAACTTGATGCAAAATGAAAATTTTCCCAAAACCACATTCACACATTACATGAATAACAGTCACTAGATTACATAAAAATCGACAGTAATCTAAACTGATATAAAATTCTGATTATTCAAAAGTTTAGCTAAATTATTCTAATCTCAGAATATTCAAATATTAGGAAAAGTACAGAATAGTACAGATAATAAGTTTCTAACTTATCGAGTTGTAGTAACTTAAACTCACAATCTAAATTTTGTGACCCCTAAATTACTAACATTGATCACATATGTCAACAGACAAATAACGCAGACATAATCAACAATAAACCCTCAACATGTAACACAGGGACTAGTTTACAGTAATGACTTAATATTTGATGAAGTGACTGAATGAATGGCAAAACACCTTAATAGGAAGAAAAAAAATTTAAGAAACAGAAAATAAAATGGTTCCCAACTCACACCACTCCCAGTGAACATCTTAATAAAACCACAGATAAAGTAAACGCATGTTAAAAGCAACAATTACTATTATTTACAAAATACATTTTAAAAATATTCACTTACAAACTGTCACGTGCATAAAAGAAAGAAACCACCACTCAATTAGACTGGGTCAATAAATAAAACTTTTAATAATAATCAGAAGTCAGTTTTGAGGATAAAATGAAAGGGGAAAATGTCTGTCGATACATTGAGCATGTTTAATGGATGCCATAAATCAACCTTCCCATGAATTTTCTAGAGCAAATTCATGCCAATCTTTGTGCCTATTGTCACTTTCACACATGCTCACAGGAACAAAATGACAAAGAATGCTATGCCTGAACCACTGGATTCAGGACACAAAACACTTAACAATTGTCAAGGCTAACAATAGTAAATATTGGCAGATATTTTCAAAATAAATTAAACCCATCGATTCCTACAAAAATTTAAGCTTCTGTTTTCTTTAAAGGATTCACCAGACTGTGTGACTTCCAGACTGTTTCGTTTTTTTTTAATGTGGCTACAGCCTTCCTGTGTGAAACAACTGGGACTGAACCCCGTTTACCAAGTGCTGGTGAAAACCGCTACACCTTTTTTTCAGACAAAAGCGCACTAAACGCTATTCCACGTTTTTTACACTTCCCCCAGAATTGCGTGTTCTCTCAAATTTCATTTTATGTCGTATACTTAAAGTTAAATACAGCAAGTTGAAATTTTAGTCAAAAGCACTCTGGTGTCTTACTGTGTAACTGCTACATCTGGTGGTAGCACACTTGCATGCAAGCAGCCAGAAAACTTAGAAAACAATTGTAACCGATCTGGTGCGTGTTTGCAGCCACCTTTACGCCGCTATTTCCCACAAAATCCACGACCCTGTCGCTGAAGAACGGTAGCCTACTTGCAGTTAGAGGGAGAACGCACAAACACGCAGGAGGTGATGGCGAAGGAGAGAAAGTTGCAACCATCTGGAGGGGTGGTTTAATAGCCTGCCCACGAGTCAGTCTGTCGTTTCAATTGCTCTACGGCAGAGGATCAAAGTCTGCCTAGATAATAATTTCTGCGGCTTCTCCCCAAAGGGAAGAGACCCTGCAAACGAGCTGCAACCAGTCCCCGGCAGCGAAGCTTACGGAGTGGGGACCGCCTCTGTGGGAGGAGTGCGAGAGGAAGGGGAGGGGGCTCGAGGATGAATGCTCCAACGGGAGGGAAAACCCACCAGAGACAGGAGGCCAGGAGGTTAAGAGTAAGGAGTGTACTAGAAAATGGGCCAAAAAGGGGCTTGTGTCCGGAGCGAGGCTGGCCACCTCGCATGGCCGGCTCGGAGGAACCCCACTCGGCTCCGTACGCCTCGCCCCGTCCCCACTAGCCCGCACCCCCGCGCCTTCTCCTCCGCCACCCGTGAACCACCACCCACAGCCAGCGCACCACCCTCCCCGGAGCCCCGCGGCCTCCTCGCCACCATCCCCCACCCCGGGGGCGCGGGGAGGAGACCCCGGGGGCGCGGGGGCCGTGGTGCGGGAAGGGACCCGGCCAGCCGCCGCCGCGGCGCTTACCTTCCCTGGGCCTCCCGGATGGCGGCGTGTGATTCAGCAGGGACCTGGCCGCCGCCGCCGAGCCCGGGGTTGGAGACGTGGAGAGCTGGGACCAAGATGGCGGCCCCTCCAAACTTCCACTGCTACTTTGGACACTCATCAAGCTACTTTCTGGGAACCCGACTCTGCCCCTGAGACGGCAGCGGCGGCAACGGCACCAGCACCCGCCTCCGTCATGGCGGGGGCCGCGCTGAGGGCGAGGGAGAGTGTGAGGGCAGGGAAGGGAGAGTCAAGGGGATGGGGGAGGAAACAGAGAAGGGGGGAGGTGGAGAGGGAAGAGGTGAGGGGAGGAGAGGGGACAAGGAGGAGGAGGAGGGAATGGGGGAGAGAAGGAGCGGGCGGGCGTGCAGGGAAAGAGGAGGAGGGAAGGAGCGCGGCGGTAGGGGCGTCGAGGGGGCGCCCGCCGGGGCCGGGGTCGGAGCGCGGGTGGAGCGCGGGCAGCGCCGGCTGAAGAGACTTCCGCGGGCGGAACCTGCCGGCACCTCTGCAGTGCGTCGGCCCCCGGCGTCGCCCGGGTGGCGGCGGCAGCGGACGGTGGGTGGCGGCTGAGGCGGCGGCGGTGGGGTAACCTCTGCATCAGTTACAGGCGGCGGCGGCGTCACGCGCCGCCTGTGCAAACACTATCGCGAGGCTCCTGCGCCTCCGGTAGCGGCGGCGGCGGCAGCAGCCCGAGCAGGCATGGGGGAGGGACCTGCCAGGGGCTGGGGGCGGGGGTGAGAGGAGGGAGTGAATGCGCGAGGGAGGAGACGCGGCAGATGGGGCGCCCCCGGCGCGCCCGCGGATCGCAGCGCGGGAGCCCTGGGCCGCGGACTCGCGTGCGCGGGCCGCCCTCCCCGCGTCGGCCGGAGGGAGGCGCACCCCGCACGCGCCCCCTCCACACCGCTCCGGCTCCCGCGCTGCTGCCACCTGACTCTTCCCCTCTCCCGCGGAAGCGCGCCTGGCTCCGGACCCACACCCAGCCTGGGGAGAAATGCTTCTGCTCTCCTCGGCCGCCTCTTTTCTGTAGTTCAATGTGATCGTTTCTCAAAATGGAACTGAAAAGTTGAAAGTTGCTTCTTAACCCTCTCTACTGTGGTGGGGGAAAAAACACCCAAAACACAACCGTACTTGCACCTCCCAATCTGCAGAAGGAGAGTAATTACCCAGTAAAATGAGGAAATAAATTGGAGAGGGAAGTGTTCGGAGATAAACTTTCTGAATGTTTAAGAAAATAAAAAACGTTAGTAAAGGAATTGAAAATTACTACCAGTATTGTAGATTATACGTCTAGTGTAACAGTTGTTTTAAAACAGTAAGGGAAAATCTAAATAGAAATTTAATACTGAATTCACGTATTTAGGAACATTATCCAGTGTTCACCTGTAGAAATAGGATATGATTTCTAGAAAGGTACCGTTTATCTCTAGTGTCCCTGCCCACTTCTGACTAGAAAATCTCGAATTACAACATTTATAAAAATTTATAGACATAGCGTAGCTTTCCACACACCCACACATGCACTAGGGATTGGGCATCCTGTCCATAAAAGAGTAGTTTAGGGAAAGTACAGCAAGGTTATTGCTCTCTTTAAAAAGCCAAAATGAATAGAACACTAAAAAGATTATGATATAGAGCAATTGTACAGGCATGAGGAAATGGCATGATTACCAGGGGACAAAAATGTCATGTCTATTTTTTATTTTTATGACTTTGCATTTCTCATAGTAATGTTTTGTTCTGATAAACTACCACACTAGAATGGAACCTTGGTTGGTTGGTATCTCCAGAAATAATTTTAATGTTATGCTTCAGATTCTTCCTTGAGTTTTTAATTATATTCTGCATTTCAAATTTCAGAGGTTTTTTGTTCTTCTTAAGATAGCAGTGAATCGGTTGGTACGTGGCCACCCTGTGTACAACAGAAGGAAGCACTGTGATTCTCATAACTGAACCAGTCTCCTAATTGCTATTGTGCTTGAAGCCCATTGCTGCAGCCACTGTGTCAATTATCTAATTGAGGGTGTTCATCCTTTTTGCTGATGTCCTTTATCAACAATGATGTCCTCCAAGGACTAATCCCTTTTCATAACATGTCCTAAGTATTTTGGCTGTACTTCCGAGACAGATTTCTTCATTCTATTACTTCGTGGTACAGTCAATATTCTTTGCCAACTCCATAATTCAGAGACATCAATATCATGATAAATGAAGAAAATACTGAAACTGCCAAAGGTTTCATTTTACAGGGATCTGCAATCAATGTTCATGAAAGCAATGGTCGAGAAATCACCTTGTTTTGCATTGAGCAAATCTGTTACAAAAACCTTAAATATTGTTAAATGTCATTGAGTAGAGTACAACTCTTAGCGACCCCAGGAACAACAGTTCTGAACCCTGTCCTATCCAACACCATCCTTATCTAGCCCAACATGTTTGAACCCTTTGCCACAGACACAGTATCAATCTATGTCACTGAAGGGCTTCCTCTTCACTGACTCTCCACCTTTCCAAGTATGCTGTCCTTTTCCAAGGAATATAGCCTTTCCTAACAACATGTTCAAAGTATGTGAGACAAGCTTTACTTACTGTCCTTGCCTCCAAGGAGTGCTCTGGTTGTACTTTTCTCCAAAGCATATCTTTTGTTCTTCTGGCAGTCATGGGATATTCAGCAATCTTCTCCAATGCCGCAACTTAAATGTATCAATTCTCCTGTCATCCTTATTCATTATCGAGCTCTCAGATGCATAGCAGCTGATTGGAAAAACCATAATTTGAATCAGGTGGACTTTAGTCTTTACACTTACATCATTGTTTTTCAGGGCTTTAGAAAGATTCCTAACAGCAGACTTTCCCAAGGCTATATGTCTCCTTTCTCCTCACTGCTGGTTCCAAGGGTGTTGATTGTGGATCCAAGCAAGATGGAATTTTTGACAATTTCAATCCTCTTCCCATCTATGTGGATGCTGCCTGTTGGCACAGTGATGAGGGTTTCTCTTTCTTTTTTTAAGAATAATAAGCTTTATTGTGTTGATACAGCCTCAGTATTCAGAGACAAAATAGTGCAATGCTTGAAAACGTAGAGCATGTTTTAAAAGTTTACAGGGGGGTGGGTTTTTTTCTTAATGTTGAGATGTAATCCATATTGAAGGCTGCAGCCTTTGACCTTCTGCTGCAAGTACTTCAGGTCCTCTGCACTTTCCACATGCAAGGTTGAGTCTTCTGCTTAATGCAGGTTGTTGATGAGTCTTCTTCCAATCCTGATGCCATACTCTTTCATAAAATACAGCTTCTTTAATGCTTTGCTCAGCATATGGATTGAATAGTTAAGCAGAAAGGATACAACCCTGATGCACATCTTTCCCAATGCAGTGTTCCCTTGCTCTGTTCTGACAGTATGTTCTTGGTCTAGATATGTTGTTGTTGTTATGTGCCGTCTAGTCGTTTGCGACTCATAGCAACCCTATGTACAATAGCCCTAAACCCTACTCTATCCTGTGCCAATCGCATTGCCTCTGACACACCCATCCCGATTACCCCAGTCACTGAATCAATCCACCTCATAGAGGGTCTTCCCCTCCTGCGCTGTCCCTCCACCCTCCCAAGCATCACATCCCTCTCCAAGGACCTGTCCCTCCTTACAACATGTCCAAAGTATGTCAGACGAAGCCCCAGAATCCTTGCCTCCAAGGAGGAGCCTGGTTTAACTCTCTCCAGGATGAATCTGTTTGTTTTCTTGGCAAGCCAGGGTACATTCAATACTCTTCTCCAGCACCACAGCTCAAAGGCATCAATTCTCCTTCTATCCTCCCTAGTCATTGTCCAACTCTCTGATGCATAACAAGCGATTGCAAAGACCATGGCCTGTATCAGGCGCACCTTAGTTTCCAGAGAGACACCGTTGCTCTTGAGTGCTTTAGAGAGGTCCCTAACAGCAGACTTTCCCATGGCAATACGTTTTTTTTATTTCCTGGATGCTGGTGCCAAGAGTGTTGACCATGGAGCCGAGCAAACTGAAACTGTGAATAATCTCAATCTCTCCGCCATCCATCCTGATGCCACCAATTGGTCCAGTGGTGAGAATCCTTGTCTTCTGGACATTGAGCCTCAGTCCATACTGAGGGCTGCAGTCTTTGACCCTCTGCAGTAAGAGCATGAGGTCCTCCTCAGTTTCAGCAAGCAGGGTTGTGTCATCTGCAAAAGACAGCATGGAATGATAAAGCAGAATACTACAATGAAATGTGCGAGGAGCTAGAGTTGGAAAATCAAAAGAGCCAAACTCGTTCAGCATTTCTTAAGCTCAAGGAACTGAAGAACAAATTTAAACCTAGAGTTGCTATAATCAAGGATGCTTTAGGCAGAATATTAAATGATCCAGGAAGTATTAAAAGAAGATGGAAGGAATATACTGAGTCATTGTATCGAAAGGAATTGACAGGTACAGAAGAATTTAATAACATTTGAGCAAGAGCCTATGGTGATGAAGGAAGACGTTCAAGCTGCTTTGAAGGAAATAGCAAAAAATAAGGCCCCAGGAATAGATGGCATACCAATTGAAGTATTTCAGATAACAGATGTCGCCCTGGATGTGCTCACCAAGTTGTGCCAAGAAACCTGGAAAACAACCACTTGGCCAGCTGACTGGAAGAGTGACCCAACAGAATGTGGAAAGAAGGGTGACCCAACAGAGTGTGGAAACTACAGAACAATATCATTGATTTCACATGCAAGCAAGATTCTACTGAAGATTATCCAAAAACAACTGGAATTCTGGCAGAGAATTGCCAGAAGTCCAGGCTGGGTTTAGAAGGGGTCGTGGTACTAGGGATATTGTAGCTGATGTTAGATGGATCTTAGCTGAAAACAGGGAATACCAGAAGAATGTTTATCTGTATTTCATTGATTATGCAAAGGCGTTTGACTGTGTGGTCTAGATATACATTTCAAATAAGCATAATTAAGTGTTCTGGAATTTTCATTCTTCTCAAAGCTCACCATAGTTTGTTAGGATATGTAAAGTAAAATTCTTTTGCATAGTCAATAAAACACAAATAGACATTCTTCTGATATTATTCTCTGCTTTTAGCCAAGATCCATCTGACATCAATGATGTTCCTGCTGCCATGGCCTCTTCTAAACCCAGCTTGAACTTCTGGCAGTTCTTTGTCCATTGACTCTTCTAGCCATTTTTGGATTATTTTCAACAAGATTTTGCTTCCATGTGATATTGTTCTATAATTTCCACATTCTGTTGATTATTTGTTCCTTATTTGGAATGGGGACAAATATGAATATTTTCCAGTCAGTTGGCCAGGTTACTGTCTTCCAAATTTCCTGGCACAGACTCTTGAGCATGTCCAGAATTGTATTTGTTAATGGGAGCATATCAATTGAAATCCCATCAATTCCTGGGGGCTTATTTTTTGCCAATGCCTTCAGTACAGTTTAAATTTCTTTCATCACCAATGATTTTTTTATCATATACTACTTCCTGAAATATTTCTGTGTTGACCAGTTCTTTTTTGTACAGTGACTCAGTGTATTTCCTCCATCTTCTTTTGATGCTTCCTGGAGCATTTGAGATTTTTCCTATAGTTTCTTTCAGAATTGCAACTTGAGGCTTTATTGCAGTATAATTGACATGAAATAAATGTTACATATTTAAGGTATACAGTTTGGTAAGTTTTGACATGTGTATATGTTTGAAGCCATTAGCATATCCATCGCCTTCAAAGTTACCTGTACTCCTTTGAGGTTCCTCTTCATGTATCTACCTGGGTAACTGTTGTTACTATAAATTGGTTTGCATCTCCTAAAAAATTCAGTTAAGTTGAACCAGTAGAGTATTTGGTCTTTTATCCTAGCCTCTTTTACTTGGCATAATTACTTCAAGAGTCATCCACATTGTTGTATTTATCAGTAGTTCTTCCTTTTTTATTGCTGAGTAGTTTTCTATTGTTTGGATGTACCACAGTTTTTTTTCTTTTATACAGTCACCTGTTAATATTTATCTTATTGCCATTTTGTAGCTATTACAAATAATGATGTTGTTGTTAATTGTTGTTGATTGTTATTGAGCACATCTTATAGCAACACTGTGAGCAAAAAGCCTAAATCCCCTCTACAACTCTTAATAATTATCAAAGTTCATAGAGTTTCTAGAGGAATATTATTTAGGAAGTGGATGCCACTAATACTACTATTCATATACAAGTCTTGGTCTTTTTCTTGAATCCATACATACTCGGAGTTTTACCATTAGGCTTTCATGTTATAACATTTGTGCTTACTATAAAAGGAAATAAAATTTCCATTAAAATGTGAAGCAATAAAACTAACCTGAAGATTTGGGGGGGGGAAGCAAATATATGTTATTATTTTATTTTCAGAGAAATAAGCTTAGCATTTTGCTTAGGATATGACAGGAAGACTGTTATGAGGCGTGGATTTCCTGCCCCCCCCAGCATGTCACAATCCTTGATTTAAATACATCATCTATTTAAAAGTGGCTAGAATCATGGAATCTCTAAAACTCCGACCAAGTACAACACCATATTCAAAACTCAACTCTTCTCCAGAATATACACAGATAAACCAAAGATATTTGATGATGGGTTGTTTTTCTTCTAGCCCATGTTTAATTTATGCTGACTCTTCTGATTATAAGCAGATCACAGCATATATACCTTTTTTT